GGTATATTTTACCATCATAAATTGGTTATAATAACCAACTATTAATGGTGTATTTTACCACCATAAATTGGTTATTATAACCAACTATTAATGGTATATTTTACCATCATAAATTGGTTATTATAACCAACTATAAATGGTGTATTTAACCACCATCAATTGGTCATTATAACCAATTATTAATGGTGTATTAAAATGGTTAAAACTACCAATTAATAAATGGTCATTACAACCATTGGCAATTGATTACCACAGATCCACTTTTCAACCATTTTTKTGTGGTAGATTCAACCAAACCATTTTTACAGTGTACTTGTGCACAATAGATTACTTCTCAAAGTGGATTGAAGTAGACAAGCTTGAAAGCCAAACCAGCAACACAGTAATCAACATTCTGAAACCACATTTTGCAAGGTACGGCATACCAGATGAGGTAATAAGTGATAATGGTCCAGTTTGCATCTGAGGAATTTACACAGTTTGCAAAAGACTACGAATTCACTCACAACACCACAAGTCCACACTATCCACAAGCAAATGTACAAGTTGAAAGAACTATCCAAACTGTTAGAAAAAGCTGATGCCTACATCAAAAGACTTCAACAAGGCACTGCTCAACTACCGCAACACAACCTTTGAAGTTCGTAACTACTCTCCAGCACAACTTATGATGAGCAGAAGGTTGAAAACAACACTTCCAACAATAGCAGAACTTTTAACACCTCAAAGTCAAACAAAGATCAAAGGAAAACTAGACAAGATCAAAGACATACAGAAGAGAAACTGTGACAGACGAAGCACGAGAAAGCTGACAGCATTGCTGAGAGGAGGTGTAGTCAGAATGAAACATAACAACAAATGGATTCCAGCAACAGTAGCTTATAAGCACCAGAGTCCCCGCTCCTACGTGGTACAAACAGAGGATTGAAGAAAGAGGAGAAACAGAAGGCAACTGAACTATATAAAGAGCTCACAAACAGTAAAGATCAAGCATCATGTGGATCCTAATGACTACAGAACACTTGCAAGAAGTAACGAATCACCAGTACATCCTGAGGCAGCAGCAAGTACATCACCAACTCAGCAATCAACATCTAAAGTAATCGTTCAACCAACACAGCCTGCCAATACACCACTAGTGAAGTCAACAAAGAACCCTGTCAACACAAAGGAACCCAGCAGCAGTCTAGGAGAAGGGACGGGACATGGTAGTGCACCACCCACTGTTACTAGATCGGGTAGGGTTGTGAAGAAACCGACCCGCCTATAGGACTATATAAGACCATAGAGCAGTTTTCAAAGGCTATTGACATTGTTGTTGTTTGAACATTAAGCTTTTCCCCAACAGGGATACTGTTTGTTTAAATAGGGACAGAAACTCAAAACAGATACGTATTCATTGTTTTTTTATATTTTAAAGAAAGATGTAATGTATGTGCATAAATTATGTATGTTAATGAGATGAATATTAAATCAATTGTGTGTACCAACATAGCGTCCACCTAGACACAACACTACTCATTTCAAAAGCTGGATCCACCCCTGAAAAATGCTTACATTGGATATTTTTGTTGTACGTTTATAATTGGAATTCTCTTCCCCCGACGACCACAATACCTAGTCCATTTCAGGCGTGTGAACGGTGTTCTCTGATTGGTTGAGCGGTAATTTATTTTACAATCTGCCCATGCTAACTTTGAACTTCAAGTGAGAACGCGTGTATAATTAGTGGCGAAACATTGTCTCTATTAACAACGGTTCAAACAGTCAAAACAAACGTGCAAAATGTTTCCATTAAGCACAATCCGCTGTACAATTAGGTCTACAGCGTGATATTTTGAGCTAAAGGAGAACGTAAAGATCTTTTAAAAAGTGGCTGAATGACTATTGAATGTTCGATTTTGAAACTTTTCAAATTCCAGCATCAAAGTTTCGGTTTAAAAATTGTGATTCTAAATCTTTTTGATGTATTTTTTTCAAAAGCAAGCGCCCACCTTAAAGCTCAAATAGAAACAGATTCTTTACTTACAAAATGCCCATCGTTTGTAAATTTCTAAACACAGCTGTCTGGGAGTCCAGATCTAACGAATTAAATGACAACCTCCTTCATGCAAATAAATACAAACGCAATCTTCATTAGTTGATGAAAACGATAACAGTCCCTTTCCATTTGCTTTATGATAAAACACTCATTTGCACATGCTTAGCCTCGCTTAGGAGCAAATCATTTAAAAACTACTGTAAAAAAACCCACGAGTTTTTAATGGTATCTGTGAATAGCTGATTTATTAACGAGGCTAAGCCTGTGCTTATGAGTCTTTCAAAACAGCAGTATGTATCAAATGCAAAACTGGCTTATTATTGCCACTTACAAATTTCGTAGTTTAGTCAGGTTTCCTAGGTATGGTAGTGTCGTTAGAAAGTTATTGTTCATTGTCCTGGCAAAAAGAATACATTATTTACGTTACATGGCACAATATTGAAGAAGATATTACAATATTGTTAAGGTCTTGAAAACAAGCCCACTTATCTTTGTGCTTTGAACTTTTTTCAGGTCATTTAAGTTTTCAGCACTCGCAGCACGCTCCAGATTATCAGTTTATTAACCCAGTTTACTTAAGATGTGGCGGGAAGCCTCCTTACTTCGGATGATTAGTTTGTTTAATAATCTAGCATTAAACGTCTTAGTTTCAAAACCGATTTCAATAATTTCAAGCGCTTAGTTTGTTACTAAAAATGTAGGCCTTTCTTGTAAACGGTTAAACCTGGTTTTTTTTATTTACACTCCGATGTCGCCATAGGCATTGGAATACAACCATTTTCCACGGCCTGACAAGGAACTCGCAGACATTCCAAGTTTATAAATTTTGGTGGCTGGAACTTTAAATTGATGAGTGGTGATACCACCACAGATTTGATTTTTGGATTTTCTGATGTTCAAAACATCGAAACATAAATGGCACGATTTAACGTAACCAGTCCAGGGAAGATTTATGATAAAGGTTTCATAGCTGCAAATCGGTTCTTTTTGATTACAGCTTTGATCATTAGTTTGGGAAGCATTGCATACATGGTAAAATTCTTCTAAGGGCGCAATTTTTGTTGTGTGGCTTTGTGGGATGGTTGCGTGACAGACCTAATGTTGACTGGGTAGGAGGCTGAATAAAAGCTACCGATCGATGAAATTGTAATTTAGAAGCTGATCTTTGCGGGTCGACTTGGTGAGAAGCGAGTGTTTTCAGAATCGCTACGCCAGCCCGTGCCTTCATTTACCTAGTCCATATTTTCATGTGTATACTCGCAGTAGTTATTTATATTTTCTTGTTTATAATCAGTTTTATAGGTTGGTAAGTGGCATCCTACCTCCGTAAAAAACACAACAACAAACAAACAAACAAGATGTGAGTTGTTGTAAATATAGCGGTGATGTTGTAGCGAACCTCGCGGAAAAGCCCTAAAATAGTGATTGTTATAAAATAGAAATATAATGTGATTGTTTGTTTGGGCATAATTCATGTATTTTACTTACAATGTCTTTAGAGGTTGAAGTCCATTCAAGCAATAAAGATCAGCGGTATGAATTTGGTTGTTTCCTAACCTCCTTAAATTAAGAGAAAACATCGGTTAAGCGGTCTAATGGCAGCATTTTCTTTATGTACGTTGATCGAGTTCAATGAAATATCTCAAGTTGAAGCCGTCAAACTGTCAAACCATGACAAGTTTAGAGCAGGTCCACTTATAACGTATTTCTTATCCTTTTTTTTTTTTTCAACAGAAGACTAATTTATTTTTGGAACGCCTTTGAGAATCTAAAAATAGGCCACATAGTTTATGTATTATTAACAACTGTTGATTTAGGGCATATRATTTGAAATATCTCCATTTTTATATACTGACAGGAGGATCTTTTAGACATGTTTAAAACTTCTGGTACTATATGGAATTAGAACTTCATGCCTACACAAAGACGAGCTATTGTTTTTTATAAATAACGAGGTAAAGGCAACTTACAATAAGTTCAATGATGTCAGTCCCTCAAATGCCCCTTTTCTCAATATCCTGATTGCGTTTCCATCTAAATACCTAATTCGAAATACAAATAAAATGAATATCTTCAAACGGTGATGAAGCTTCATGGTACGTAAAGTATGGACCACAAACAAAATTTAAAACTGAAACATGAGAAAGTATACAGTATAATTAAGTGCAACTTAATAGAATTGTATTGCTAGGCCACTTGTTAATTTATACAAACCACCCCTTTAAAACTATTTCTTTTTTGTTCTTTTAGGCAAAGCTATTATATCGGAAAATACGTGCATTGGCCAACGTAAAACTTGATCTTTTTTGCATTGATTGTTTTCATGTTTTAAGCCCGTCCCCTTTAAGTAAAATCCGTTTGTTTGTATAAATCATTTTGATCAATTTGGTATTCATTATTTCAAGAGGGACAGTTAACTGGTAACATCCCTCTAGCTAAAGAGTGTGTATAATGGCGGCCAAACTTCCTATGCTCTTATAGTTTTGTTCTTTCCTTCTCCTTTTTTTATTCTTCATTTTACCTCAATAATAATGTGTTATGTGATAGTAAAATAGAATCTCGTGCAATTATTGATCATATATGCATTGTTTCTCCACGTCTTCCATGTTTATGGAATGTTTGACGTTAATCTGTTTTAAACGTCGTATCCTATTATTTTCTGCTGTTTTTTGGCAACTAATATCCGCTCTGAATTTTGTAATTTAGGATGTACATCTAATCTAAATCAAGTCTCTCATAAGCCTTTTCCAAATTAAAAAATCTTTGTATCTTCCGCTTCAGAAGAAAACGCGGTGGCTTTCCTCGGCATTAAACCCAGCGTAATAAATCAAAATCTTCTCCCAAGTGTTCGTCTTCGCCTTTCATCTTCTAAGTGTCTGTGTTGCAAATGCTAGATCAATCAATAATAAGTCTCTAGAAATCAGAGATCATGTGGTTGGCTAAAATCTCGATATTCTTGCAATTACAGAGATTGATCTTAAATCTAGAGGTAGCTCTAAGCTTCGTCCTACTGGTTATTTTCTTCTCGTATTCTCCTAATCTTAATCGCACTACTAAAGTTCTAAAAAATAAAAACTTAAAAAAAAATAAAATAAAAAATTTTAAAACCTATAATCATTTTCTTTTAAATCATTCGAATATTTTGCATCAATCCTTTATTTTAGCTCGTGTTCTTTCCGTATTATTGTCGTTGTCTATAATAATAATAATAATAATAATAGTTTATTTATCCACATAACGCCTAGGAGCATTTCACATACTCGTT